AACAGTTTAGAAGGGCTATTTGGAGCAGCCCCCACCGCCATCCCACACCTGCCCCACCAGGTTCCCTTGACCCCCTCGGAAGCCAGCACATAAATCCCACTCAACTCCCAATATCAACAGGCCATTTGTGAAACAAGTTTGGAGAGTTATTATTCCTTCTCTTTCAAGTAACATAAAAAATTAGAAAAGAATCAAAACCTCAATGAATTCCATATTCATTAAAGGGAAAACATTTAAAAAGCATTTTTATGTTAACTTTAAGCCCTTACTTGTGCTTAAGAATAAACACGATGGTCGGGCGTAGTGGCTCATGCCTGTAATCCCAGCACTTTGAGAGGTCGAGGTGGGAGATCACTAGAGCCCAGGAGTTAAAGATCAGCCCTGGCCACATAGGGAGACACTATCTCTACAAAATATTTCAAAATTAGCTGGGCATGATGGCACGTGCCTATAGTCTCAGCTACTCAGGAGGCTGAGGTGAGAAGATCACTTGTGCCCAGGAGTTCGAGGCTGTAGTAAGCTATGATTGCGCCACTGCACTCCAGCCTGGGTAACAGAACCAGACCCCGCCTGGAAAAGAAAAAGAACAAGTACACAGTGCTTTACCCTGCCCACAGGAGACATTCAGAAAGAGGTGAGGGAACAGAGATCAGGTGAGGAAGCCTAGCATTTTACTCCTTCAGCAGGTACTTCCCAAACACCTGCTCTGTCTCAGGTGCTTCCAGGCACTTGGGAGCATACTGACAAAGGAAATGAAGATGTCTGCTCTGGGCTGGAAAGCAAATAAAAGCAAATATATACATGATAGGTCAAGCAGACAGTATGTTCAGAGATGACAGAGCTGCAGGCACAAGAGGCGGAGACCCCACTATGGGGCACAAAGGAAGATCTGAAGTGAACATAATTTAATTAATGTGGCCCCAGACACTCAGGCATGGACCAAGGGTGTGCTTCATTGATCAGAATCAAAATATAAGTTGGAGGTTTTATACACTAAAATATGAAAATAACTCGTATTGAAACCAGCCAGAGACTGTTCAGGAGAGCCAGGCCTCAGACAGCTTGTGTGCAGTATCACTGCCAACAAACTGGACCTCCACCCAAGGGGGTGAACACAGCACTGTGGAGTGGACACTTGTGTCCCATCCTCAACCAAGGGCCAAATGGCAGGTGGTCAGCCACAAGAAGCAGGGGACAGGAGAAGCACTGTTCCTTCCCCACATAGGGTCCCACAAACCGGCCCTGGGTATGTCCTAGTGTTCTCCAACCTGCAGGAAAAAAAAATGAATCAAGATCTCAATCCCACATCAACAAAGAAGTGGTTACTTCAGGCTAAGCATATGCAAAATCAGTCCTTCTTTAATACAGGGGAAAGTTAAAACATGAATTCCAAATTAAAAGTAATTACATTTTTCCTCTGTTCTTAAATATATACATGTATACACATACTTATATATATGGCAAAAGTAAACAGAATCAGGAATAGCGTGCACAGGCTTGGAAATCCCAAACCACACTGGCAAAAGAGGACACTTTTCAAGAGTGTGCTTCATTGCAGACCACGCCACAGGCCTCTTTGTGTCACCAAGTTCTTCCCTTCTAACTTCAAGGGGATGGTAATGTTTAGTCTTTTAAAAGTAAATGAACCCGGATGTGGTAGCTCAAGCCTGAAATCCCAGCACTTTGGGAGGCCAAGGCAGGAGGATCACTTGAGGTCAGGAGTAAGAGACCAGCCTGGCCAACATAGTGAAAGCCTGTCTCTACTAAAAATACAAAAGTAGCCGGGCGTGGTGGTGCGCGCCTGTAGTCCCAGCTACTCAGGAGACTGAGGCAGGAGAATCACTTGAACCCAGGAGACAGGTTGCAGTGAGCCGAGATCGTGCAACTGCACTCCAGCATGAACAACAGAGACTCCGTCTCAAAACAAGTAAATGACACTCTAACAACAATAATAAAAAGACAAATAACCCAAGGTCAGACTGGGCAAAGGATCTTAATAGACATTTCTCCAAAAAAAAATACACAACTGGCCAAAAAGAGCATGAAAAGATGCTCATCATTAGTTTACTGGGAAAACGCAAATCAAAATCACAATGAGATACCACTCCACACCCATTAAGATGACTGTTATCAAAAAACCAAACAACAACAACAACAACAACAACAAAAAACAGAAAACAAGTACTGTTGAGAATGTAGAGAAATTAAAACCCTGGAATATTGCTGGTGAGAATACAAAATGGTGCAGACACTGTGGAAAAGTTTGGCAGTTCCTCAAAAAAAATAAACATGGAATGACCATGTGATCCAAAATTCGACTGCTAGATATGCCCCCAAAGAAACTGAAGACTTGTGAATGAAATGTTACTTAGAAGTCAACATCGAATTCTTTGAGTCGCATCTTCCTTGCAATTTCACGAAACAGGTGAAATATCAACGGTTTGATGTCCATACTGAATGTTGTCCTACTTAATTTTTTTTAAATTTTTTCATTTTGTCTTTTTTTTTTTTTGAGATGGAGTCTCGCTCCGTCACCCAGGCTGGAATGCAGTGGCACGATCTCTCGGCTCACTGCAAGCTCCGCCTCCCGGGTTCACGCCATTCTCCTGCCTCAGCCTCCCGAGTAGCTGGGACTACAGGCGCCCACCTAATTTTTTGTATTTTTAGTAGAGATGAGATTTCATCATGTTAGTCAGGATGGATGGTCTCGACCTCCTGACCTCGTGATCCGCCCACGTTGGCCTCTCGAAGTGCTAGGATTACAGGCATGAGCCACTGCGCCCGGCCAATACTATTTTTTAAAACTATTGGATGGGAATCTTCTCCAAACACCTGTCGATTCCTCAGTGTCCTCTCATGTCAAGCTCTCCAAATGAGCTGCATAGCTGCTGCATCCAACCCCAGTCCAGCTGCTCAGCCTTTTGCCCTCCTTCCTGGGTGCACAGCGGGGCAGCCTGCCTCTCCAAGCACCGTCCTCCAACAGATTCACCCTGCCTCACTTCTGCTGGGCATGACCTCCCCACTCCCCACTAAGTAACATCCTGCCCAATATAGCTCCATTCCGTCTTCACATACATAAAGCCTCTCCCTCATGCCAAAGAATGGATGTCTGTTACTCTACTAAATAGCTATGCCAAGGAATTCAGTGATCACCTGGACAGAGAAGATGCCCAATGTATTTTATTCAATAAGCTAATAGGTTAGCAGCCCCTAGGCACAGAGCAGGTGCTCAGAAAGTACTTATGACTGGCCAATATGCTGGGGATGAGGCAGTATAAAGCAGCACTGCCCAACTTGCTGTGAAGAGGGAGAGGGTCTCTATCTCCACTGTCCAGTGTGGCCTCCAGCCACATGTGGTATGTGGCAACCGAGCACCTAAGTTTGGCTAGTGCAGCCAAGGGGCTGTTTGTAATCTTATTCAGTCTGAGTTAACTTCAATTAAATAACCACATGTGATGAGTGGTATCTATTGGACGGTACAGCTACAGAACAACGCACACCCTGGGCATCCTCCTATATCCGGAAATATCCAAGGTAAGGAAATTTGCAAGTGGCTAATTTAAGACTTGACAAGCAAAACAACGCTCTGGAGACCAAGAGCTGAGGAAATGTGCAAAAATCTGAACAAAGGCTTTCTTTTTAAAATTCATACCTAAACCATGACAGGCGCACATATATTTTTCCTTTAGTAGTCATCAATACCTCATCATTTATTTCAAGTTGACACACTGACTTTAATATTTTAACCCTCACACGCAATTTTATCAAAGTGCTTATAAACTTGTTGCTTGTTGCAAAGAAGGTACACACAAAGAAGGCCGTTTTCAGGACGGCATGGCTATCCGATGACTCGGTGTCTTTTTGATCTGAGAGAATCTGAGCTCCCTGAGTTCCTTGGCGGTCCCACGGATGGAGGGATGCAGGTGTCATTCTTCAGATGGCAGAAGTGTTGGGTCAACTGTCCTGTGTGGCTCCTGGAATGAGCGCCAAGGAGGAATCAGGGCACACGGATGCCTTCCTAGTCCAGGGTTTTGAGGATGTCCATTCTCATGCATCCCACTTGCAGTCCATACTTAGACCTGGCCCTGAAATCCGTCTCCACTACAACATTGGCAGCTGAGTCCTTCCTGCTCTCCCCACACTGCTGCTCTGCTGCCTGTCTGCACTGAGGAGAACTGAGCTGGTACTCCCTGGATGGGAGGGACACTTGGGGGCAAGGTCTTTGTCCTCCATGGTAGGTGATTCTTCCTGCTGCCCAGCCCTTTTCCTATCCTTTGTCCCCACCCCCAAAATCAGGCATCCTATAGTCAACGCTGGGGACTGCCCAGCCATCTCTCCTAGTCCCTGTGGTGGAGAGAGGCAAGGGGAGGACTGGAGGAAGGTGTCCATCGTGTCTCAGTCCCTTGTGGTGGACTGACAGGCAGCTTCAAGGCCAGTGGCTTCTGCCTGCCTCCTCCTGTCCCAGGCCTTCTACAGGAATCACAGCCAGTGGATCTCAACTTTTATGTGCATTAGATAGGCACAGATTGCTGAGTCCAGCTCAAAATTTCTGACTCAACAGACATGGGGCAAGCCCAAGAGTCTGCTTTTTTTGTTTTCTTTGTGTGTTTGTTTGAGACAGGGTATAGCTCTGTCACCCCTGCTGGAGTGCAGTGGCACAACCATACCTCACTGCAGCCTCAACCTTCCAGGCTCAAGCGATCCTCTCACTTCAGCCTGCCAAGTAGCCGGAATCACAGGCACCAGCCACCACACCTGGCTGTTTATTATTATTATTATTATTTGTAGAGATAGGATCCCACTATGTTGCCCAGGCCTGGTTCAAACTCCTGGGCTCAGTAATCCTCCCATCTTGGCCTCCCCCAAAGTGCTGAGATTAC